CTTAAATTTAGTAAAATCTATTTTTAAAGGCTTTTGGACGTTTATATATAATATTACAGCAACATGAAAAGCTATATAACATAATTAATTATCATCATTATATGATGTTCGCATTCTTAAAGTTTTATGGTAGCTAAGAAATACAATTTCAGATAACGGTATCGTTTAAAATAATTTTCTTATCTACATACAAAAATATTCATTCATGTTTTTAAAAAATTGATCATATTATTTATTTTATACGAGTTTAATTGCGTGACTACGTATATATACGTACATATACTACGATAAATAGAAATATGATTAACCTAAACAAAAATTAAATCAACTTTTATCAAATAAATTAGCACATAAATACTATATTTAAAAAGCAGTGTTTCTTTATAGTCTACATATTGTTTGTTTCTTAATAGTTACTTTTTCTATGTGTATTAAATGCATTCGTATTTATTACTTCAACATCGTAGAATTGCTGTTTAAATTTCCTAAATTAAATACCTGTGAAATACTATGCATTTAATTAATAATTATTGAAATACACAAGTAACTTATAAGATTCTTATTAAGAAATTATAAATATATGAGTTATCCAAAGAAACGTTAAATATTACATTTGATTATTTCCAGATTTCATTATTTCATTCTATATTAAGAAACTTTTCATGAATATCTAAAATATTTAAAAATATTAAATTCCTTAATAGAAATAACGTTTTCGCACGTTTTGAAATACAAAAGTGATACAATCTTTCGGTTGAATGTGGAACTTAAAACAAGATCTGACTGAAAAGGAAAACTAAGAAACTTGAAGATGACACAAAGCATGCGTACTGATGATTCACACATTGAAATATTCGTACACATTAAAAAAATAAGGTTGAAGTAGAATGTCTCTCTATAAGGTAACATGACAAAAAAGTAAGAAAGAATACGAACAAGAAGTTGCAAACGAAGCATATGCTTAGTTTATGTTAGATCAGTTAGTTTGATAAAAACCGAGCAGTAACCAAATATAATGGCTTCCAGTTAAACAGGGGCGGAAGGGGGCTGCCGCGCTGTTTCTTTTAAAGCGCATGCTTCCACGTCCTCCCAACACTTACGTTTCAGCTGCGAGCACGACATTTTGGAAACTCATCTTCGAGTGTCATTTACGTTCCTTTTGCCCACAAATTTTTCTTTATTCTCTACATCACGAACATACATATCACCAATAAAATTTATAATTTTTAACTTAAAATTTTTATTAAACCTAAACTATAATCCCATTAGATTCATCTCGAGTACAATTAATTTATAATCCTTGAACCTGTTATTCCTGAGGAAATATATTTATTGCGAAGAAATTGTTCGCAAAACTTGTTTGTAATTGTCGTCAGTGTAAAAATTTAATAACGAATAAAATGGTTCTGAAGATTCGCGTTGAATCACCGAAGGTGAAGTATACGGAAGATTATATTGAAGCACAGTACGAGTATCAAACGACGAATGTTACGGAAGACGACAATATAAACTATACGGTAAGCATACCAGAATGTTCTTCCTTTTTTTTACTTCGCATTTTTCTGTTCTTACTAAAAACATTTTCTTTTTTTATTGTTATCAAATATTGTTTTAAGGAAACATCAATATCGTAAAAGGAAAAATATAGAATAAACTGATTTTTTATACTTTCGACATTTACCGGCAAGTATGACCACAAATTGTTAGCGAGTTTTCACTAAACTAAACAGAGTACAATTAAAATATTTCACTTAAAAATTTAACAGCTATATTTGAGAGATACATTTCAAGTAATGTTAATTTCATACTTGTTGTCATACTACTTGCTCTTTTTCATTATTGGAAAAAAATACTTTTTCGTATAGTAATTCTATACTACGAAAATTCATTTCTAGAAAGATTTTATATATAAATTATTGTACTATTAAGAATAATTGATTACTTTTAAGATTTTCGCATGCAATAAATGATAATATTCGGTAGTAAGAAAAATTTCAAAAATTTCCACTCCTAGTGAAATTCACCGATTTTTCGCTAGATGTATTGTACAAGTATGGTAATTGTTCTTATGCACATACGATGAAGCAATTATACAATTATTTATTAAATAATATAACTGTACATTTAATACACAAAGTAGAATAATATATGGTGGAAAAGAATTCAATTGTTGTCATTTGTAATTGTTTCTTCCAATTTTAATTTGCAAATTCATTGATTGAACAAATTTTACGCTTGAATTGTAAATTACGGAGAAAGTATGTACAAATTGTATAAATATAATCCCCACGAATAATGATAATGATTATTAACAAAAATTGTAAAAATGTGTATATGTATATATAAATCTTTGGTTAGAAAAAGGTGTTAATATTTATTTTAACTAATACATT